GGGTTTCTTATACCTTTGGGGGCCCAAGGGCCAGTGAGATGGTTCTTTTAACCTTGAAGACCACACTCCACCCAGTCCCTTCCAGCATTTAAAAGGTAGCCTGCCTGAAACTTCTAAGATGCCTGTTCCCATCGTTGTTATGTGCCATCAAGCCAATGGTGGCCGTATGAATGAGCCATCTCCAAACTATCCCATCCTCAACTGCCCTGCCCAGCTCTTGCAAACACACTGATCACCATAATCATCCAATCTCCTGAAAAGGACAAAAGCTGGTCTCACAGCCATAAATACTCAACTCCCAAACAAACTGCACCAGAGCACAGAGTGCTAGTCCTATCCTTTGAAGATGCCGGCCACAGAGACTGGCGCAACATTAGGAAGAACAAACTTCGAAATACAGCCAAAGAGCCTGAAAAACCCACAACAACCATCAAGCTTCAGGCTTCCTTTGGGAATGCAATCCGTCTCATATTTGGTCTTCTGCTTTTCCTGCTGCCTTTAACCTGCCCCAGAATGATTGTCTTTTCCAGAGAATCCTGCCTTCTGATGATGTGCCCAAAGGGCAAACTGAGAACAACCTCAGTTTCAACATTTTGGCCTCCAGAGTTAGTTTAGGCTTGATTTGATCGAGAATCCATTTGCTTGTCTTTCTGGCAGTCCAGGGAATTCACAAAGCTTCCCTCTAGCACCACGTTCCAAATTGAATCAGTTTTTCCCCCCTGTGGTCATTTTTTACTGTCCAGCTTTCACATCAATACATGGTCGTTGGAAATACAAGAGCATGGATGATCTTATTCTTGATCTCCCACAACGCATCCTTACACTTACATCGTATACTGGTCCTTATACCCACATGCAAGGACTTTCCCTCAGGCAACACATGCTGGAGAGGCAGTGTTGGCAATCTCCCCCTGAACGCTCCAGTTTTTGCCTGATTTCAGAACAAAATTGCAGAGAAATAACTACCTATTTTGGTTCTTGTGTTTGAGAAGTCTTCATCTGACAAATCAGCACTCTTAAGCACTTTTAAAAGTTTTTTAAGCTCCTTATTTGAAACTTGACATAATTTTGACTCTGGTATTTCTTTATAAATAATCCTCATGCCCTAATCCATGTCACTTATCAAAATCTCAAACAGCACACAGCCTAGGATGGAGCTTTACAGTAGTCTGGTAAAGTCATGACTATAGCTAGAATATAAGAACATAAGGCCCCTATTGGATCACACCTAAGGTTTATCTACCTTTACCTAGATAGGCCTACCAGATGGCTAGGGGCACTCACAAGCAGGGTGGATTGAAATTATGGTTTAAATTTTTTAAATCATTTTTTTAATTTAAATCATTAAAAAAATCCAATTTTAAAAACAATTAAATCGTGATTTATATCAATCTGATTTAAATCTAATTTACCATACTCACAAGAAAGGAATGATGGTAAGAGAGTTTTTCCACCGTTGTTCCACCAGCAAACTGTGTTTGGAACATGCTACCTCTGATCCTGGCTTATCAACATCCATGAATTTACGTACTGTATTTTTCCATGTATATGATGATACTTTTATCTAAAATCTTTAGATTTGAGGGTCGTCTGACACACTGAATTAAGGAAGGGGGAAGGGATCAAAGTGCTTTGATTATTCCTGCTTTCCCCCTCCACTTTCTTGCAAAAAAGTGCTTTCCCCCTCCACTTTCTTCACAAAAAAGTAGAGGGGAGAAGCAGGAATCAAAGTGCTTTGATCCCTACCTTCCCTCTCCACTTTCTTATGAAGACATCTTAATTTTGGATTTAAAAAGTGGGGGCATCTTATACACTGAAAAAATACGGGTACTTTGTTGAGCCCTAATCAGGTGAGAACGCTGAAGAAATCTATCCATGAAGTGTCCAAATGCTCAGGGCGTCTTATACACGGAAAAATATGGGTACTTTGTTGGGCCCTAATCAGGTGAGAATGCTGAAGAAAGGTTTCTCCTTATAGCCTGGGAGAAAGTTGAACATCCTCAATGTGTGCGTACCATGTTAGCATCCAAAGGGCAGACTTTCTGACTTGCCCTTTGGTGATGAAAGGAAATCCAAGATGTGTGTGGATACAGGAAGATCTGTTCATTTCAGTTTTCTCCCTTTGTGGAAAGCCACTCCTGGAAATCCAAGATGTGTGTGGATACAGGAAGATCCGTTCATTTCGGTTTTCTGCCTATGTGGAAAGCCCCTCCTACATCAAACAAACTGCACCAGAGCACAGAGTGCTAGTCCTATCCTTTGAAGATGCCGGCCACAGAGACTGGCGCAACATTAGGAAGAACAAACTTCGAAATACAGCCAAAGAGCCTGAAAAACCCACAACAACCATCAAGCTTCTGGCTTCCTTTGGGAATGCAATCCATCTCATATTTGGTCTTCTGCTTTTCCTGCTGCCTTTAACCTGCCCCAGAATGATTGTCTTTTCCAGAGAATCCTGCCTTCTGATGATGTGCCCAAAGGGCAAACTGAGAACAACCTCAGTTTCAACATTTTGGCCTCCAGAGTTAGTTTAGGCTTGATTTGATCGAGAATCCATTTGCTTGTCTTTCTGGCAGTCCAGGGAATTCACAAAGCTTCCCTCTAGCACCACGTTCCAAATTGAATCAGTTTTTCCCCCCTGTGGTCATTTTTTACTGTCCAGCTTTCACATCAATACATGGTCGTTGGAAATACAAGAGCATGGATGATCTTATTCTTGATCTCCCACAACGCATCCTTACACTTACATCGTATACTGGTCCTTATACCCACATGCAAGGACTTTCCCTCAGGCAACACATGCTGGAGAGGCAGTGTTGGCAATCTCCCCCTGAACGCTCCAGTTTTTGCCTGATTTCAGAACAAAATTGCAGAGAAATAACTACCTATTTTGGTTCTTGGGGGTTTGCTGCTCTATTGGTGAAGCCCATGTCACATGAGCTTGTCAGGTGCAGAGAGAAGATGGAGGAAGGGGGAAGAATGGCTGGGCTTTACGCTCAAGACAGACATACTGGTTCTCCACCCAGCCTGCTTGTTATGTGTTTCCTTTTACCCAGGGAGAAGTGGCTGGTGGGCCCACTCTTCCAAAAGCAGATGTTTTTCTCCCCTCCGCATTTCAGTCCCCTGGGTCAAAGGCCTGCTTGTAGTTCGAGGTGTATGCCACATAATCTCTGTGGGATCCATTAGGCTAGCCTGATGCCTGAAGTGTCATTAAGAACACTGTCCATCACCCATTCTGAAGTAAAAATCGTATCTGGCTGATTTCTGTGTGTAGAATGGAGAGGGAGTGACTCTTGCTTCTGTCTCAGGCAGAATAAGGGGTTGGGCGGCCTCCCTGGGAGAAATGTCTTCAGTCTATGTTCTGTCACGCGATTCTCTGCCAGCGCAACTCCATCTTCACTATTCATTGACTTGGTAATAGTTTATCCTGGATGCTGGCTGGGTTCGGCTATGGGCAGTTTCTTGACTGGCCCTTGAAAAGAAACCAAAGGAAATGATTGCTTTTTTTTTTTTTACTTAAAGTGATTCAGTGCCTCAGCAATAGTCCAGCAGAGTCATTTTTAAAAAATTAACTTCCCCACGCTCTCTATGGAGGAGCTGAGGAAGTGTTCAGTTTGCCGATTCTGGTTCGCTTATTAAGTCACTTCATGATACTGGAAATTCAAAGTGGGAGGAGTCTTGACAGCCAGGAAGGCTAGCTTTTGGGCCATGTGCTGGAAATGGACCAAAACAGAGCAATCCTACATGTACCAAAAAAAGTAGAGGTTCCTGACAAACTCTCTGAAAGGTGTGGTTACGATGACTTTGGGGGTGGTTTGGTTTGCTCTGGAGATTATGTTGTGGGAATACAAGAGGGAAAGGGAAGTCAATCCTTCCCCACAGTGGATCAAAGAATGGGAAAAGTTCCTGTCTGATCAAGCCCAGTATTAATTACAATTTCTAACTTACAATGGAATTATTTCTGTTTTGAATCTTTATGTGTTTAATTTCAACAGTATTACTGCAATGTTATGTCCTTGAAGCTTAGTGTAAATGATAAAAATGAAAACAGAATTTGTGTGTTAACATACAAATGTCCTTTGTGGGAGGAGCAGCCCTCTAGTTTCTGTCCTGGTAGTATCCAGGTTCTTTGATAGAGTCACTGGCAGGACACAAAACGCTGAGACCCACTGATATGAACTGTAATACGCTCCAGCGTCTGTGAAGATTTCCTCTGCCAGTTTTGAGAGGTCTTTGAGTGAAAAGGAGCAGGGCGAGAACATCTTCCTTGTGTCTCTTCTAAAGAATCAATGAGAGAGTACCACATTTTTCAGTGTATAAGACTATACTTTTGTCTAAAATCTTTAGATTTAAAAATTGAGGGTCATCTTATACATGGGAGTAAGCTGAGGAGAGAACAAAAACAAGTGGAGGAGAAAGCAGGGATCAAAGCGATCCTGCAGTGCTTTGATCCCTTTCCCCCTACACTGGCTAAGCCCCACTTAGATTTCTTAATTTTGGATTTAAAAAGTGGGGGCATCTTATACACTGAAAAAATACGGGTACTTTGTTGAGCCCTAATCAGGTGAGAACGCTGAAGAAATCTATCCATGAAGTGTCCAAATGCTCATTATAGCCTGGGAGAAAGTTGAACATCCTCAATGTGTGCGTACCATGTTAGCATCCAAAGGGCAGACTTTCTGACTTGCCCTTTGGTGATGAAAGGAAATCCAAGATGTGTGTGGATACAGGAAGATCTGTTCATTTCAGTTTTCTCCCTTTGTGGAAAGCCACTCCTGGACTGAACTGCTGGAGAGCTCAGTGGTTTAGGTCTCTGGCTGTGGAGCTGGAGGTTGGGAGTTTGATTCCCCACTGGGCCTCCTTGAAATGGGCTAGAAGCAGTGATTCATAGGGTCCCTTCTAGTTCTGCCCTTCCAAGTTGATGAACGATGATGATGTCATCAGTTTGTTGAATGCAACTTTGGCACTGTGTCAGATATCTTTTCCTATTACTCTTTCAGGAGACCAACGAAGCTGGAGAGTCTCTCAGTACCTCTTCCGTTTCTCCTACAAAGCCAAGTGGCCAAGCTGCAAGCCTTGGTGGGCCATCTTTCTTTCTGCTGTCACTCATGCTGGTCCTCTTTCATCTCTTCCAAGTATACTGAGGCTGGACCTTCACTCCTCGGAGTGTTATCACCCAGAGAGTTGTCCAAACCATGACTGCCTTTGGGGAATCCCCATCCATTCTACTGCTAACTTGTAGTCTCGACAACCCAGCCAGCATTACTGCTCTAGCTGCAATCAATACGTAGCGCTGTTTCATGTGCCAATGCACCACGCTCCAAGGTTACTCAGCTCAGTCTTCACCACAAAGGCCAAAAAACCTACAAAGCTAAAGAAGAAGAAGGGAAAAAACAGACATATCAAGGGTAGATCTTCACTGCATGCACACATACCAACATGGTATGCATGACAGATGATATGCAAAGGAGGCCTGAGCCAGGCTCTTTACTGAAGAGAAAAATTGGAATTCACCTTCGTGAAGATATTGTGGTGTCCCATTGTCCCTCCCTTTTTTTAACAAGAAGGTAAAATCCTTGAGGAAGTTATCTTCATATTGTCTACTGAGAGCCACTCAAGACAAAAGCAACACAAGAGGAAGAAAGTGGCATCTGGAAATTCTCTGTTGGTGTCTTTGACAATCCTTGTGCAGTTTAGTTCAATTTGATGAATAAATAAAAGCTTCTTAGCCATTAAATCAGTCTTTTTATTGTTGCAATTGCTTAAACACAGAACAGCCTTCCTGAAAAGCCTTGTCTATGTCTCGCAATGTTATTTGCAATCAACGAGCATGCAACTTACGGTGATCCTAATGGGGTCTCAAGGTATATGAGATATTTAAGGAATGGTTTTACCATTGCTGTCCCCCAATGGGTTTCCATGGCTGACCAGGGATTTGAACCCAGGTCTCCAGAGTCCCAGTCTGTCACCCGATCCTCTACACCACAATTACTCTCTATCAATATCTAGTCTCCTCATAACACATTAAGAGGCTTTTCCGACTGTTGCCTTCCAACTGTACGTACTAAATGGCCACTTCCACCCTGTCCAGGAGGTCTGGGGGTTCCTTTTGGACACAAACATGTAGCTGGAAAAGTAAAGGAGAATTGGGCACTTGCTTTGCATTGGAAACTCTTGGAGACAAAGCATCCGATTTCAGTCATGAGTAGGGAGTGGGCGCCGCGTGTTACAAGTCTGGGCCTTGCACGTTTAATAGGAAGCAGCAAGAATCATAGCTGTGCTGTCTTTTAAAAAGTAATAATAATAAATTCCTAGTGACAGGTAGTTTACTTTGTTGTTGACCTCAGGCAGATTCATTAAAAAATCATTGCTGCAGGGTAGGTAAGATGCTGACTGGTGAAAACTGTACTGACAGATGATGTCAGCGAGGAGTGAGGCACGCTGTTGCTGATGCCTCAGTGTAGGTGTCAGATGGCACATTTGTGCAGCAGGAAAAATAGACTCTTAAAACCTCCTGATTTTCGAATAACATTGAAGAGAGCTATAGGTGCTGTGTCAAACCCTATTTCATGGGAATGACAGAACAGATATCTATTTATTTTTTTTGTACCATGAGGCCGGATGTGGGGTTACACCTACTGCCTTAAATAAATCAGCCATTTTACTACACATCTTTCAAAGGCGTGCCTTCCTGGCCTGGCACAAAATGGCGCCACTACAGAATTTTAAATCCAGGTGCAAAATTATAGACGGGGACTGTTGAAAAACTAATGCCCCCTCCCCAGGTTTCTCCTCACCCCATCCCGAGGAAGCAGAGTGAACGGTTAGCTCTCTTGCACCTGAAAACCAGTGTTTAAAACCGGATGCATGCATGGTTCACTTTCTCACTCAGCCTTGATCTTCGGGCACCTATGTTCCACTTCCCACACAGCACATAAAAGCAGCAACCCACGGTTTCTGATCACGAGAAAGATAGGAGGGAGAGGCTTCCTGTTGTTCACCGCTATGAACTATACCTCTTCTCTAAAATGTTCATGTGGGAGAAAGCATGAGAGCATTTTTGAATCCTTCCCCCTCCTTTGCAGAGAAACAGCTCTGCTTCTTTAGACACCAACCACACGTAGAAAACGTCTTGGCTTAGAAGCAAAAAACCCAGGCCCAGCGTCAGGCAATACTTTTCTTAGGACCAGCCAAGACATCACAAAGTAAAGAGGGAATTTTCAATTTCTCCATAGCACTTCATCAGAGGAAGGAAAAAGAAGCTGGCTCCAACAGAGCTTGTGGAAGTTACTTTTTTGACTACAGCTCCCAGGATCCCCCAGCCACCATAGCCAGTGGATGGAAGATTCAGTACCGTGTAGTCCAGAAAAAGTCATCTGTTCGATTTTGATTCCAACCTCTGTTCTCTGTGCTGCCAGGACCTTGTACGCTTTAGCTTGATCCAAATAACTGATGGAGTTTAGGATGTTCAGATAGCATTGGGGGAGGGGAGTGGCCATTGTTTGTCCCTGCAGTCCTTCATCACTCCTGAAATCTACACAATGTCTAGCTGAGCCTAGTCAAAATACTCCTACAACCTTATATCACAAGACTGAGCAACTGGTAGCCCTCCAGATGTTGTTGGATTGGCCACTTCCTTCATCCCTCAGCATTGCTTATGCTGGCTAGGAAGAATCTGGATAAACAAGAAGGCCAAGTTTTGTTGCCAAAAAGTGGTTCATGCAAGTGCCAAATGGAACAGGGTTCCTTTCAGTCCAAGAATTCATGATCAGTACCAGAGCCAAGCTCACTTTTCCTTTCCACATGAAAATCCACCACCGGTTTCCCCTCAACACTCCTTCTGAGCAACCTTGATTAGGATGTATGCATGGATTTATTTTTGCTGGTACTGTTTACACTAGGCAAAGACCTTAACCATCTACAGCAGTGGCCCCCAACCTTGGGCCTCCAGATGTTCTTGGACTTCAACTCCCAGAAATCCTGGCCAGCAGAGGTGGTAGTGAAGGCTTCTGGGAGTTGCAGTCCAAGAACATCTGGAGGCCCAAGGTTGGGGACCCCTGATCTACAGAATTACTAATTACATGGGCATCAGCTTTTGGTTACCTCTATCTCACTTTCAACTTTTCAGAAAGGCTAATCTTCACCCAAGGGCAGACATAAAGTCATGAATTTGATGCCAGCCATCGGTGTGATGTACAGCAGATCAGCAAAGGACTTCTAACTTTGCATTAATAATAATGACAGGGCCTCCCTCTGTCTCTCACTAAGACTTTTGAAATAGAGCCACTGAGGGAAGAAATTTTGGTTGAAAAGACTGTGAGTTCAGGGCTGGTGATGAATACAAATTCCACGACTGAACATGTATACATTTTCTCCCTACTGTACTAAATGGATCCCTCTTCACCTTATGTGAAATAAAAAAAGAAGCCCCTGTACCTTTCATAGTTTAAAGAATTCCATCAAATGTGTCTTGTCCTGCAAGCCACACCTGTTGACCATGTACTCTTCTTTTTTACAGCTATGGAAAGGGAAAGAACCCACCCACCCCAGCATTATCTTCTGCACCCAACCACCCTATATGTCACGCATCAGGATGAAGCCACGGTGTTCCTATTCTATAGTCTACTTAGGGTAGAAGCTCAGTTGGTTGAAGACAGTGATTCTATTATATCTTCTTGCTTTCCTAGCCTGGCACTCTTCAAAGATATTGGGCAACAACTACCATCAGCCCCAGCTAGAAGAGTAGGAGCTATAGTTCAACGTATCTGGAGACTGCTCTGTTCCAACACATCACAATTCCATAGACAGATAATGTGACGACAGGGTCCCTAAGAGATTATCCTTTCATGACACACTAGTAGAAATGCATCAATATGTTCTTTGTTCCGTAGCTGAACTCTGTGATGGATAAGAAACTGCAAGAGCCCAACCATAATTAGCCCAGGCTCAAATTAAGACCTGACCTTCTGCAAAAAGGCCATCACTGTGTTTTCCTTCCTCAAGGGGAAAGTGTTTGGTGGCCAGATGCAAAAGTGAAATGAGGAACTTCTGCCTGTGGTGTAGAGAAGGGGATTTTAACAGAAGTAGCTTGTCCTAACTACCTGGGTGAAGTTCCACTTCTGCATCCACAGTAACCTCTTTTGCATTTTACTACTCTCAGACATTGCACAAACTTAGTGACTTGTATATTAACACCTGTCCTCACAATCAGAGGAAAATATTTCAGTTCAGAGGGGCAGAGAAATGTGCAGAGCATTTGATTAAGTACTCATCGAAACAACTGAATCTTTCCCCAGTTTGCCACGGTTTGGAAAAGAATGGTACCAGTCTCGGTGCTCTTTGGTTTTGAAAATGTTGGACAGAAATATTGTAATTTTAAAGTATCTCTGTGGTCGGACTGAGTCTAGCACCGCATGTGTGGCTGTGTTGATCTGCCCTCCCCTTTATTATCTCAGGCCTAGACCATTGGCAATGTGCCCTCCCCACAAAAAGCTTGCAACTCATACGAGACAATGCCTGGGGCAATTACTCTAAAAGCATCCGTCTGAATGCCAAATTCCTCATGCATGGACACATCATATTTTTGGGCACCTGTAACTTAAATCGTCGTGCAGAAGTGGGATATTTTGGCAAGTGGAGCTGGTAGATCAGCCTTTCCTGAATTGCCTTCCTCCATGTAACTATTAAGAAGATAGGAAACCAAACCTTTTTTTTTCATACTTTCCCCCATAAAAAGGTAAAGGTTCCCCTTGACATTTAGTCCAGTCATGTCCGACTCTAGGGCGCGGTGCTCATCCCCATAGAGCCAGCGTTTGCCGATATACAGTTTCCGTGGTCACGTGGCCAGCGCGACTAGACATGGAACACCGTTACCTTCCCACCAAGGTGATACCTATTTATCTGCTTGCATTTACATGCTTTCGAACAACTAGGTTGGCAGGAGCTGGGACAAGCGACGGGAGCACACTCCATCGCGTGGATTCGAACTGCTGATCTTTCGACCTTGCAGCACAGAGGCTTCTGCGGTTTAACCCACAGCGCCACCGCTTTCCCCCATACTTTCATTTTTAAAAGAAATTAGCATTTACCAGATGTGAACTCTATCCAGTGAGGAGAATGCAACACACATTGATTTCACATTCCTATTGCAGAACCAACATCAGTCTATTTTTAAAAGAAATTAGCATTTACCAGATGTGAACTCTATCCAGTGAGGAGAATGCAACACACATTGATTTCACATTCCTATTGCAGAACCAACATCAGTCTGGCCAGTCTGGCGTCCAAAGCCAGGCATTTGACTGCACAGGAAAGGCTAGCGCGGCATGCCACAATCTCTCTTGAAGCGACATTTCCGTCTGCCAGAGAATCACTCCAGAAAGTAGCAGCTCTACTGCTAGACCAAAAGGGTCATGCTCGGGCATGGATTTGGGTCAGGCTGGAGTTCTATATGGCTAGAAAATAGGTCGTACCAGACCATTTCACAAGCCACGCAAAATGCAATCGGTTCCCCATGTGACCACGTCCTGAGTTTGTGTGAACTAAAAAAAAGTGCTTAAGGATTAATAATGGCTTGAAGTGAATTTGGGAATACAGGAGTACCTCGGTTTACGAAATTAATGCGTTCTCTGGGACATTTTGTAATGCGAAAAATGCGTAAACCAAAATGCGGTTTCCCACAGGAATGCATGGGGGTGGGACTATAAAACTCCCAGGTGTAATGCAAGCCTGCTTCATATTGTGGGAAAAATTCGTAAACTGAAGCATACTTTTCAATGGATTTTTGTTCGTAAACCGAAAATTACGTTAACTGAGGAGTTCGTAAACCGAGGTACCACTGTCGCTCATATATTAGGCATTGTCAGGAACAGACATTGCCCTCTACTGGTTGAAAGGACAAATAGTCCGTAACCCACTGAACTTACCGAAGACAGATGAAGTGTGGGTCCTCCTGAGACATCTCAGGTATAACTGCAATCAATGGAACTGGTAAATGGGACGCTAACAAGTATTAGGAAACAAATGGATAGATCTGCCTTATGCTAGCAGATCTAGCACTCAGAGAGAATGCCAAGTGTACAAAGGAGAGGGCTACTGCATCATCGGACTCCCAGGGTGGTGCAGTGGGTAGAGTAATGGACTAGGACTCTGGAGTTCAGGGTTCGAATCTCCACTTCGCCATGGAAACTCGCTGGGGAAATGGAAGTGGTGAAGACACTCCTGAAATATCTCACTTACCTTGAAAGCCCTATTAGGGTGGCTATAAGTCAGTTCTGAGTTGACGGCACAGAACACACACAGCATCTTTAACAGAAGGAGGAATTTCAGCAGCTCATGCATCAGAAATTCAGCATTACACACCACACACACACACACACACACACACACACACTATACAGTCAGCTTTGGGGTATGTAGCAAAGCAGCTTTTCTCAACCTAGGCACCTTCCTGAAGTGTTTGACTACAGTTCTCATCTTCCTCAGTCAGCTGGCTATTGATGATGCTGGCTTGGAATGACTGGAGCAGAGATGGGGAAATCTGTCGCTCTTGTTTTAGACATTGCTTTTTTTTCCCTTTTAACTTCTCCATGGATCCTAAATATAAATACATTCGCTGATTCTGGTAAGCTCTTCTGAAACAAATGGAAATATTTCCCCATCGTCCACCAAACTTCTGCTAGTTGCTGAAATCCAACTGCATAGCTATATGGGTGTGACTTGTCATTATGTCTGCAATAACTACCATCGCTCTAAGGCTGAAGTGCTCTTCATGAAGCGCTTCTGCCAACACATTGTACAGTCAGTCACACTGGCCTTGTGCAACCAACTGCACAATTGCCTTGTGTAATCCATGCTGTCAGGACAGAACATTCGATATATTTACAGTGGGGTAACTTTAAATGACGCTTTGACTTACGGATTCCAGCCAGCAAAATCCAAATAAGTACACCATATTTTTTTTGGACAGGGTTTTTCATTGTTGCATTTGCATGTTATATAAGTGGTAACGGTAAGATCAAGGGCAGCAGATGATAAAGTAGAGAGGATTTCTGCCCTTTTAATAGATGTGGGGGGAAAGGGATTTCAATGAATGTGGACTGCAGGACAACCTAAACTTTCAAGAAATTCCTCTTCTGCATGGCTGTTAAAGATAAGTGAGCCTATGTCTTCTTTTTCATGTGACCACCTTAAGAAACATCTGAGAAAGTGACCTGCATCCTTAATTCACTGCAGAAGAAGCTATACAGGATGGAACCCCAGACTGTTAAGTACTCCAAAGCCCTTGTCTTGGAGGGACGAACCTATGCCAGGTTCTGCTGTTCTTTTCCCCTTTTAAAAAAATACTCTCTAATTCTTCCCACCTTGAAGGTGTCCAAATGTGCAAGTTCTGGATGCATTCTTACCAAAAGCAAACCGAAATAATATTCCCACCCACCCTTAAATTGGATTTACAGCCCGGTTCCTTTGGGTGCCACATTAAAGAAGGAGAAAGAGAGAGAGAAACTTTGTGTTTATTTCACAACATGCACACTGGAAAAGCAGACTCCTGTACATGTATACCAGAACTTCCTGGCCTCACTCATAGCTGAAAATTTAAAAAAATATGCTATTTTTCTCCCAAGTTCAGTTCTACGATGACAGATGCAGACCCAACATGGCTCTAAGGTAATCGCTTCCCCTCACTCTGCCTTTGATCCTTGCATAGAAGAAACATCTGCAGTCTAGCTTCTTCTCAGGCAAGCTACCCCTGCTGAAATCTTCTCTTGCACGCGCATGTCAGAGTTCCAGGAAGTCTGTCCTCCAGTTTATGCAGGCAAACACTGTTTTTTTTTCCAGCTGTGCTGCTGGAGATGCTTTCGAGGGCGATGATGCTAATTAAAAATCAGAGCCTCCACTGATGGTAGCCCAAGAAGTAGAACCAATATGGCGCAGACCTCATGGAGGCAATGATCCTGTGCAGGCAGAGCTACTTTCCACTTGGCCCCTTACCCTCCACCCTTGCATCCCTCAGTGGTACAGAGAAGTTTGAAGCCACTATGGGCTGATCACAAATACAGTGCCAGTTGGAAGTGGAGTATAATCAAACTCCCAACCTCTTGCTCCACAGCCAGAGGCCTAAACCACTGAGCTATCTAGCAGCTATCTGGCAGTTCCTGGATCAGTGACAGATAAGAGAAATCTGTCAGTTTTGCTTTTCCCCCCACGTTTGACTCCCCCCCCCATCATCCAAATCTCCCATTATTTCCATCCTGTTCATCCTGGAACATGTGGATGCTGGTAAATTTATGGCAGAAAAATGAATGAAATCCCTATTTTCCATCACAATCCTTGTGGGCAAACCCATACATTTTATGGCTATTTGGTTTTAGGGGCACCCTTTGGCCATCGTGTGTGTGTGTGTGTGTAAACACTAGAGTGCCGGACTGGGAAGAACCATATTCAAATCTCCCTCTTGTCTGTGAAGCTCATGGGATGACTTTCGCAGCAATCCCTTTCTCGTAGCCTGGCCTACCTCGCAAGGCTGCTAGGAGGATAAAAAGAGCGAGAAGGAACACGTCTGTTGCCTTGAGCTACTTGGAGGAAAGGAAAGACGACACCTTATCGAACACAGCAGCCGCCCAGGAGCATGTCCCCGTGGCAAAGAAGAGAACCCAACAAACCAGCCAGAGATGGGATTTATAAAAGGCATCCTATCATACAGAAGTGCATACACAAAGTTTTCAGCATAGCCTATTCCCTTTGAAAAAAGAGAGACTGGGGCAAGGATATTTGTGTTTGTGTGCATAAGGACACCAGCAAGCCTCAGGATCTTGACTCCTTCTGCGTGTATGGGGTGTGTGTGTTTCATCTTCTCTTTGTCCATCACCTTTTAAAACGCTACAGCATTCTCAGTCATTTGTGATTGTTGGACTTAACTGTGAGCATCAGAAAAAGGGATCCATTGTGGCTTTCTTCCCCATCACAAGAAGAACCAGGAGTCTTTCACCTGGACAGAAAATGTCTGCCTTTTCCATGAGTCAATAAAAGCAGTAGGCAAAAGAGGACCTGCTGCCCAGATGCCAAGCCAGAAGGATACATCTTTTCAGCACCTCAAAACCGCTGAATGATCTGGAAAGGGTGAACGTCAACAACTTCCAAAGTGAATTCTGGATCCGTCCATGTCATGCCCTCCAGTCTGTGCCTTCTTTCAGAGCACCTGGAAATCCCAGATCTGCGTGGGTCTTTCTTCAGATGACTCCCAGAGGATGGCATGATCTCGGTCGTAAGACGTGCCACCTGTACAGAGAAAAGGGGAAACGAGTGACACAAGGAAGCCAAACACATTTTTTGTGGTATCTTTGCCCTCATTCCACCTCACTGGATTCACTGCACATCATGTAGTTGGGGTTTTTAAAAACTGATTTTAAACATGCAAAACCTGATTCAAAAGTGGTTCTTATTGTTCTTGTAATCGCTCCCGCAGCCAGATTTTTAAAGTCAATTCTGCCCCACAATTTGAGGGTTAAAAAGCGAACAATGGAGGGCTTCTCCTTTTCTCTATCCCTTCCTCAGAACGTGTGTTTTGAAAGAAAAAGCATGTGGTTAGGAAGGTTTAAACTAGCCCTGTCTGTTTGTGCTGTTTTTGATCTGAATCAAGTTCAGACACTCAGCTCAGTCCCTCTGCATGTATCATGTAGTCTCGTCCGTCCGTCCATCCGCCCGTCCATCCATCCATTCAATTTCTATACAGTGGTGCCTCGCTTAATGACGATAATCCGTTTCAGGAAAATTGCCGTTAAGCGAAAACATCGTCAAGCGAAAATAAAAACTCCATTGAAACGCATTGAAACCCGTTCAATGCATTCCAGTGGGGTAAAAACTCACAGTCCAGGGAAGATCCTCCATAAGGCGGCCATTTTAGCTGCCTGTATAGCAAGGAATCCGTATCTAAACACAGCGGGGAGCCATTTTAATCACCCAGCGGCCATTTTGAAACCGCTGATCAGCTGTTAAAAAAACATCGTTTTGCGGAAAATCAGTTCCCGAAGCAGGGAACCGATCATCGCAAAGCGAAATTCCCCCATTTAGACCATTGTTTTGCGATTGCAAAAAGATTGTCATAAAGCGGATTCGCTGTAATGCAGGGCAATCGTTAAGCGAGGCACTACTGTGTTGCCCATCCCGCTGCCAAGGCTGCTCTGTACCACTGACAACATAATAAAGAAACACATAACATTTTAAATAAAGTTCACAAACATAATAGCAATATAAGAAATCAAATTAAACATACCAATCAACTTAAAACTAGGGAAAAAGACAAGATGAAAATATGAAAACAATTTTAAATTACAAGATGGCGGAGCAAAAAGCTTAAGCACTGAAAGCACCACTGTCTAAAGAGCCGTGTTTTGGAAGATCTCTTAAAAATTCCCAGTGAAGGGGCCAAGTGTACTTCAGGTGGGAGTTTATTCCACAGGTGGGGAGCCACTGCCAACAAGGCCCAGTGTCTGTTCTTCTCTTTCTGGGCTTCTCTCAGAGTCAATGTTCTCAACTGTCCAGCCTGGGAAGATTGAATAGGTCCGGCAGATGTCCCGGGAAGATATAAAGACTGCCAGTTTTCCACTTAGAAAGGCATGAGGTGCACCCGATGATGAGCCTTCCCAAGAGAGAAGGTGATGTCTGGATCAAATAGTGGGTGTCCTCCTAGCAGGAATGGAGGCATCGCTGGCACACCCAGTGGCTTCCACGATCAGCAGAGCAGAAAGTCTGTGTTTCAGGTCTTGCTTCTGCCATGAACTCAATGCACGGTCTCTCCCAATGCTTAAATGCTTCTCTTTGTAATATTGGGGAGGATATTTTTAAAAATGTATTAGCTGCATTGATGACCTGCATTTCCTCCAGTACACTCAGAGTGGTTTATATAGCAGCCTACTAGCCCACCTTATCCTCACAATAAGCCTCAGAGGTGGAGTCAGACTGAAAGCCAGAGAAAGGGTTCGCTCCAAGGACGCCACGTGGACTTTGTGACTCCGTGGGTATTAGAACCTGGATCGCTAAGTCTGTGCCCAAAATCTCAGGGGCTCTCAGTACAAACTTACCCTGCAGTCAAGAATTACACTTAGATAATGCAAAGGACATGTTGTGAAGACACCAACCCAATGGTGATATTATACAGGAAAAAAATGAATGGAAGACATTTCCAGGAACTAAAGAAGTGAAAGAACAGGATTAAAGCTGGTCTAGCTATCCGTGTCTTTCTCTCTCTCTGACACATTTTGCTTGCTTCCTCTTCTCTCAACTTTCCTCCTGCCCCTCTGATTAGCAGGACATCCTCCTCCACCACCCAGCCTCCCAAGTCAAGATGATCACCTTTCACATCCAGGATCCTGTCTTCAAACATCTGACTGCAGATCCTGCCAAAGGAATCCATGCGCCACGTCTGACGGGGCACTCGGCTCTCGGACCACAGCACCACCTTGCAGCCCTTCCCCGCCGGGCCGATCACCTGCAGGCTCATGTAGGGCGCAACCTGAAAGCCAAGAAAGGTCAAATCCATTCTGGACGCCAACCGTCATGGTTATTTATTTCTTACATGTATAGCCCAGTAATGTCACCTTACACCCTACCTATCTCAGGGCTTCCCTGCTTAGCTGAAATACTCACAGTAACTAGGGGAATATGTTCCCTGTAATAATATCTCGAGGTAAGTTCTCTTGGTTGTCATGCAAAATATCTTGGGCTGTCTTTGTCCTGGACTGGGAACCAAAACCCATCAGGATGGAAAGACATGCTCATGATGGAGAAGAGCACCCATGAGCCCTGAATGGTTGCTCAGGATTGGCCCAAGCGATCTCCTTTTTGACCCTCCTCCAGGGGTCTAAGGTACGGAGGTGTCATTCAGAATGCCAATAATTACAGCACTGATAGGTAAGAATTAACAGTGACACAATATGGCAAGATAATATAATATAGCATAACAATTTTCCAGATTGTAATGTTTTAAAAAAAATCAGCTGTGGAAAGATCTGGGTACCAGCTTTGCTCCATGGGTGGGGAAAAGCAGCAGGAAGGGGATTTTCACATAGAAAAGGATACCCAGTAAAAGCATCCTTTCCTCCGTGACAGGCAGCCTCCTCCTCATTTCTGATTTTTCATTTTTAAAAGCCGAAGATGGATTGGGACACATCTACTTCATAATACTGCTTGTGGTTTGTTTTTTCAGCTTCAAGGTTTCAATATTTTGTCTTTTTTTCTGTTTCCCTCCCTTTTCTATGTCAATTATGAGAAGGAGGTGTAAGAAAGGCGGTAAGCGTCCAGACCACTCCATTGATGGGAAGCATCGTAGCCCATGAAAGCCTATTCCACAATCACTGTGCTAGTTTCAGAGTTTGACAGAACTCTTGGTCTTTAGGGTTTTGTTTCATTTTTTTCCTAGCCAAGGGTAAAGGTAGGATAGGAGTAGTGGTTCATCAGCATCTGGAGGACAGAACGTTCCCCACCCCTGCTTTGCATGCAACCATCGTGGACTGAGATTGCATACCTGATTCTTCAGAAGCCCTTCTTCATAGTACCAGATGGAGCTGCTCTTGTCACTGGGCTCAGAGACCAGAACACGGCCAGCTTTCATGTCTTCAACATCATCTGGGACAGAGAGGAAGGACTTCAGCTCTACATTCTTTATCCGGAAGTAGATCCGTTTCTGCCAAGGGTAGAGAAGAAGGTGAGACAGAGGTAGAAGCGACATCACTGTGTGCATTCCGGTTGGGCTGGATGCTACAGAGACCTCACTGTAATTGGATCTGTTATTGGTCTCCTCTTACCATAAAGAGGTTTCGCAGAGGCTGAAGAGCGCAAGCAGACTTCACAAAAATCATAAAACTGAGGGCTGGTGATCTCTTAAGATCGTCAAGCCAATGCGTGGCCCTCTAAATGTAGCTGCTACAAGCCTTTATCACTAGCTATGCTGTCCCATTTCGATGTGATTGAAAACACCATTTCATTATGATGTCATCCTGTTCAAATCCAGGACGCGACCACAGCCCCATGCTTAAATATCTCTCATGGAAGAGAGTCAAGTGTCTTAAGATCGTCAAGCCAATGCGTGGCCCTCTAAATGTAGCTGCTACAAACCTTTATCACTAGCTACGCTGTCCCATTTCGATGTGATTGAAAACACCATTTCATTATGATGTCATCCTGTTCAAATCCAGAGCCCCATGCTTAAATATCTCTCATGAAAGAGAGCCAAGTGAGGCAGCACCCATTCCACTGTTGAACAGGCCCTTTCATTAGATGTTTGTCCTAATCTTTTGCTTAAACCAACTTTTGCTTGTTAGATCTATTCCTTCCTGATCGGAACAGCACAGAACTGGTCTAACCTCTCTTCTTCAGGAGAACCCTTCAGGTATTTGAAGATTGCAACCAAATGTTTCCTTTTTGCCTTTTCTTCTCCAGGCAACGCGTACCGAACATTCAACTGAGAGCTGTTTCTCTCTTAAACCTATTAAATCTAGTCCGGCTCTTATAAGGCAAAATTTCATTAAATGTTGACAAATTTGGACCATTCCATGTTTATTTCCCATGGTGAAGTAAGGAGGAGCTGTGGATCTATTATCCATTATTGCCAGCGATCCCAAATTCACCCTGTTCTTTCTGTTTTCTGGAATTATAATCACCCCTCTGCACAAGCCACAGAGTTTTTTCTTGGCAGAGAGAGAGATCAAGAAAATATACTCCACATATCTAGTTAAATTGCTTCTGCTGATACCATAAACCAGAGCGGTGTCACCTAAACTTCATCAGAGCTACCATATGTCCCTTAGGAACCAGAACCTCCCAAGTTCAAGCCTGCATCTGCCGTTGAATGACTCTTTCTTGGCAGAGAGAGAGATCAAGAAAATATACTCCACATATCTAGTTAAATTGCTTCTGTTGATACCGCAAACCAGAGCAGTGTCACCTAAACTTCATTAGAGCTACCATATGTACCAGAACATCCCAAGTTCAAGCCTGCATCTGCTGTTGAATGACTCATACTCCACATATCTAGTTAAATTGCTTCTGTTGATACCGCAAACCAGAGCAGTGTCACCTAAACTTCATTAGAGCTACCATATGTACCAGAACATCCCAAGTTCAAGCCTGCATCTGCTGTTGAATGACTCATACAAAACAAAGCATGCTAAATGCAAGATACGCAGGTGAGAAAAAAACATGCAATGTCAGACAGACAGCTTTCATTACTTGGGAAATACTCTGTTTTTAAAAAAGGATCATTGAGTTTGACCCTCAGAAAACCAGAGAGCTGGGTACCCACTCACCTGCCTGATGGGGTAAAGGGAGCCAATATGCTGAAGCCCGCTGTATGTCAACCAGTTGGTGATCTCCATGCATTCCAACAGCCACTGGCGGCCTCGGAAGTCACTGTGTTCACACAGCACCCAACTGCACGTGCAAATCATTGGGAAAGGAAACCATGGGAGAGAAAAAAAATATGAGGACAGATCTTTTAATTCCTTCATTTTCTGAAAAAAAGGAACACAAATCACATTTGGCCATAGCTATCATGATGAGTAACAGTGCACTGACTAGGGCAATCATCCTTTCAGAGCACTGGCCTAGGTAATATTGGCTGGGTGGGAGGGATCTATAGCAGAACTCAAAAGGAGTTGCCTTGTATCTACAGCTTGGAAGTAATCACTTACACGTGAGTTTATTGCAATTAATCCTTTTTTTTATAACAACATCACATTAGAGTTGTAACTTGCTGGGGAATAACTTCATCTTTTTTGCAGCATTTATTCAATTAAGTAATTAAATGAATAACTTAATCCTGTGATATAATGAAATCATTGGTCAATTCAGTAATTAAATGAACAACTTAATCATGTAATCTAATGAAATCATTGGTCAATTAAGGAACTAAATGAATAACTTAATAATGTAATATAATAAAATCATATCTAATGAAATCATTGGTCAATTAAGGAATTAAATGAATAACTTAATCATGTAATATAATAAAATCATTGGTTTTAATTAATTAATTAATTAATTTTTACAAATTCTCAAACAGCCTAACACAAGTATACTGTGGAAATACTTTTGCAGAATAACTGTATGTTTTAGTTATGTTCATAGTTACAGGTTATATTCTTCATTATTTAGTTGGTCTTTTCTTCCACCGGCCTTTACCAGCTATCGGGGGGTTGCATCCTTAGCACCACAAAGGTGCCCAATTAATTTTGAAACTCCTGCCTAATGGATGTGTCATCAGTGTTACAGTATCAAGTGGTCGGGGTATCACTAGTACAGTAGGTGAGAGATATCCGATTCTACTGGCCTAGGGTTTTCAGCCTTCTGTATTTTATATTTCACCCATCACTCCATCTACTAACCCAAGTCCCACCATGACAGAATGCCCACTCTAGCAGGGGAAGGACACTCACGTGGTCATAAATATGCTGTTAAGACAGAAATATCTCTTATTGGGAATGAACACAAAGAAATAATTCAGTTATTAGTACTTGGAATTTGTACTCAGTACAAATCTTACAGCTCTGGGGATTTTAAAACATAAAGGCAATAAATAAGGAACAGTGTTCTTGCAGCAGTATCCTTGGGAATAAATTTCATTGCTGTGACTAAATCACTAGCAAGTTAAAAAAAAAAACTCAGTCCCTTTCCGAGTTTAAAAAAAAAAGAAATGCAACAATACTGTTGGCAATAACTGAAGGGAATTCTTAGGGCTGAAACAGAAATAATTGATAGTCCCTAATTAAAAGGCAATCCTTCATGGCTGATGGTATGTAGGCTTGAGCTTCTTTCACCTCTTGGAATGTGCAAATCTTGTTGTTTTCTTTGTGGCTGATTTTTGGGACTTCCGCACAGGATTCCTTTGAAGTCTAGTTTCTCAGATATGTAAACCGGTTTGAAACCAGGCCCTCCAGCAATAATGTGATCTAGCACTGATGACGGTCTGTCTAGGACATGTCTTTCGGCCCCCTTTGTCCGGCTAGGAGACGACCGAAAAGGAAGCGGACAGGTTGAACCTCAACATAAGGCACCTCTTCTCTTTTACTTACATTCCTCCCTTCACCCGTACCGAGAGCACGTGGTTGTTGAACCCCTCGGCCTGCAGGCTGCGCACCTCCCCGTTCAGCTCTATCTCCTTCCCTTCGAAGCACTCCAGTCCGTGCAGGAAGATGGAGGGCTCGGAGAAGAACTGTGAGGGAAAAGGGACAGGGACGATGGGTGGCAACGCAGAGATCCAGAGATCATCGGAGATGGGCAGAGAGCAAAGGCAGAGTCAGGGAGTGAAGAAGAACGAAGACCAGGAGGAAGCAAAACACAGGTTGACATTAAGGCTAGTTAGGATGGCAGGTATCTGAACATTTTGAAGACTGTGAACCTCTCTCTCTCTCTCTCTCTCTCTCTCTCTCTCTCTCTCTTTCTCTCTGTCTAATTTCCACTTTTTTCTCCA